TCCTGGCATCGGTCACCAAAGCACATTGTGGTTTCTGTTTTTTTCAAATGTCATATAATGACTGACAGACTAGAAGGGAGCCAGAGCAGAGTTATAATATACCTCCCTCATTCATAATCGGCTTGAGAAGATGAAAGCCATTACGTTAATGTTGCTCACACTGAGAAGAGGGGAGTGAAGGGTAATTGCACTTAGAGTTCTTGTTCTTCTCTGCTGTCTTGAATAATTCACTGAAGGTTGGAAGGCCTGATAGAAAGCCTGTCTTCATGGTCCACTGGGGTATTGAAACGTTGATGGTTTCTTTCTTTCCTTTTCTATAGGTTTAGAAAATGTTATTGTAAGTACAATATCTCACAGATGATGTATGACATTGTTCTTTCAATTTCACTAACGTTTTTGATAAAGCTTTAAAAGCTCAATCGATATTTTTCCACTACACTATCATTCTTTGAAAGGAAAAGAACAAAATATGATTTGGCTTCTGTGTTTCATTGCAGTGTGAACTAACTGTCAATGAGAGGGAGTGGAAAGTCCCACCAAACCTGACCAGGCAGCCATTACCGTGCATTGCATTGCTTTCTCTTTATATTGTGATTAGATCATACGAACACATCGTGTTGATGTGAAATACATGGATTAAAAGGAGGGAACCCCTGCTTCATATCATAGCATGTTAAAAGCCCTGTAACATACAGTAGATTTGGTCATTTGAGGGGGAAAAGAACACAGTGCTCTTTGTTGTTAATTTGTGAAACAGAAGTGCAGAACTTGCTGTTGTTTTAAACAAACAGCCTGACGTACAGTTGACTTTATCGGGGTAAATAACTTGCAGGAGAGGCAGCTTTTATATGGAATTAATTGCAAACAAGTTGCCTGCTAAGGGCCCGAAAAGGCCCTAATGGAAGTGTTCCATTAAAACAACAAGTGCTGATGCCATCAGACAAATTTCCACTAAGTGTTGCCTCATGGAAATGATAACTTGCTAATCCATTATTAATAAGAATTAATGGTTTTCTCTCTGCCTCGTGTGTATCGATTCCTGATACTCTACACCACAGAGTAGCTCTCAATGGGCACTCTGGCAGACTTGGGAATACGCTAATTGTTAGCCACACAAGTACCATTTACACAGCTCTCTCTGCTGTCTCTGCAGTTAGTACAAGCCTCGGAGGCCCCAGACAAGGATAAAAGAGAAAACTATAAAGCTGCTCAGGAAACATACCATACAATAACGCTGCTTTGAGTGATCATAACAGGAATAAGACTACATATATATGAAGTCATATTAAAGTAAACCCCTTTCAAATGTGTCCAGCCTCTTAAATGTCACCTTTGTTCTGTCTTAAGTTGTAAACTGTTTGCTTTACATTTATAGATTTTCATGATTACTTGTCCCAACATTTTCAGATCTATCTAGAGAAGAATTAAACACCTGTGGAAATACTGGAGTACGGAAACCCCCATAACCGTTTATTCCCCCCACACACAGAGCTATCAGCAGCCGCTCCTCAGTGCCATCTAAACGTAGCACATGCTATGAACATGCTATGCACATTTGTCCATAGCCTGCTCTGAAATGTAAAATATGCAGTCAATATGGCACACATATCCATGGATGTGATAATTGATTTAATACAAATGACTCACTATTAACAAGTACTGCTTAATTAGGCTAGCACTTTGTTTGACATTTTTGAAAATGTCGCGTTAAAAGGGTTAGAATTAATTTCCCTAATAACCCAATGATTTGTTTGATAATCAGGCGAATGTCTATCAGGGTGTGAGGATGTTTTGTAGAACACAGGATACACCTTATTAGTCTCACAAGAAAAAAACAAAACATTGGGTTTTAACTGGTTTTGCCTTGATTAACTTATTCCGTTAATTAGTCGTAACATGAAAGCCTTTTTGCTCTACTAACAACAAATCTGTTTTTCTCACCAACAACAGTGTTTGGTGTACAGCAACACTGCTTTGCATGTGGATCACTTTTTGATCTTTCTGATGCAGTAATTAGGTGATTATACCAAATGTTTAAATGATCGACTTGTATCACAAATATGTTTATCTGCTTTAATGTTCACATCCCAATCACAGTGTTCACGTGATTGTGTCAACAATTAGAGAACGCCTTAATCTTGGTAGGGCCAGTAAACTACATTTGGTAAATATGAAGTATTCATGAAGCGTCGATGAAAAAAATGAAAATTATGCCATCTTGCAACCAACACTGGGCCTGACATTTGTGGCAGCACTTCCTACACATTGCCAGTGAGAAGAGAGCATGAGGTAAAGTCTTGAGTGCCAAGATAGGAGTTTTGAATGTGATATATCAAAGCTTAGAAAACGTGCGGCTCAGAACTCGCAGCCACCGACTGAGAGAAGGATTTGCATACGTAGGCTTATGTGTTTTCCACCTCATCCCTGCCTTTGTTTTCATGAGACAACTGACAGCCAGGAAAATGGGACACAGGCAAAGAGAAAAAAGGGTCAAGTCTGGATTTTGTCTTTCTAAGAAAATAACTGACACACCCAACAGTTTGATATCCTCACCCTCCAGTGGTGGCTCAATGATGGAGGAACTCTGCAGAGTCTTAGTCCAAAAATAAATGTCTCTGCACTTCTGCTGGAGTGCATTAGAAACATTATTAAACCCGTCTGTAAGTCAGGGGTTTGGGGTCATCACGGACCTTTTTTGAGATGTTATGATTGAATGCTTGGTGAGATCTGGATTAACGATAGAAAGCTCCGAAGGCCATAGTTTCGCCTTTGAGTCAAAGGTTAACTATCGAAATTCAGGGGAAGCTTTTTTTAAGAGGATTAAGACGGGAAAAACTCAGCAAGGGCCAGTTTACCCTTTTCTTCCACTTATCCGAAAACATTCTTATGTTTTTTCAAGATCCAGCAGTTCCTAACTTAAATGTTAATGCTTGAGCTTAAATCCTTTCATTTGAGACATGTCCAAATAACTGTTTAATGCTGCCTGATCCTCCATCCTAGCAAAAACGTGGAAAGCCCTTACATTAACTAAGGGAACTGCTTTGGGCAGATGTTAGCCGGAGCTCTTGGAAGTCAGAACGGCGATAATCAGGTCTTGAGCATTCCAACTCACCAGCGAAGCACGCACAGATGCATGCTCAGGCATACACTCTCAGCAGCTTATCAGGTTTGAATCATTAGCACAACGCTCCTGCTGCTGCTGCCTGCGTGTACCACAGCGGCACAGCCACATTCTGACGCTATAGAAAACCATTTAGCGCTGAGCGGTTGCAGTCTAAATCTTATCCACAGGAAGACGAACATATATTTGAAATGTCAGGTGGGCTTAGGTACTGCGAAGGGGTCACAGTTCAAAAATGGATGTAAACTTATGTGTTGGATAACTGTAACGCAGAGCTGCCTACTCACACACTCCTCACACTGCACTACAGCACACTTCACAGTGTTATGTTACTTATACAAAAGTATTTTTTCTTTTTTGGTATAAACAAATATACATATTCAGTATGTCATAGTCCTTCATGGACAGTAAGCTTTTAATCAGGAGATGCATACAATCACATTAAACAATTCATATTTCTGCTGCTACCTCTTTCCCTCCACCCAGTTGCATTTGAATGTGTGAAATCATCTCACATCAAAGCATTATGTATACACACACACACACACCTCTGCCTGCATGCTTTCAGTATCTCCTTTATCGTGTGCCTTGAAGAAAGCTCCTCTGCAGAAATGTCCTCGAGCAAGGACCGACAGCACCACCTCTCTCTCTCCAACGTAGTGAGGGCAGAGGTTTACAATGAATGTTACTGGTAGACCTGGAGAATATGCTCACGGAAGGCCCTATCCATATCAGAAAGAGGCATTATGTTATCCTAACTAGATATCGACACCCCCAACCCTTCTCCCATCAATGTTATTATATTAGAACATGAAAGGGGTAAAAAAAATGGTGGCAGCCACTGCTGGGTTTTCCCCAGTGTGTGCTCATAGAGGGAATGCTGGCATCTCCTGTGTGTATACAGAGTAATGATTCACCCTTTGTGCGCGTCTCCACGGGGCGCTCTGCTGCACCACTGCGGTTTAGGTGTTCCCCACCTGCCTCTTTAATGACTCTGGAGATGAAACACGAGCTGACGGAGCTGGTAATAAGGCCATTGTGTTATCCCAAAGTCAGACTAGTAAGATGCACGTCTGAGGCTGCAAATAAAGCAAAAAGCACCAACGCCGTAGCATGGAGCACCCTCATTGTAGCATCATGTCAACCTAGACAGGCCGTTGCTGAAACACACATTCCATTGTCCTACGCACAATGATGTTGGGTGTGGTGCTCGCTAAAAACACCCCAAAGGCAAACAGGAGAATCACGTCAAGAGGTGTTCTCCAAGGTAGTCAACTGTGTTGTTGTAAACACATTATCTGTGAAGTCAGACAGGGGTTACAGAATATGAATATAGTATGAGCCTTGTTTGGATTTTAGAACACAATAAGCAATGCCTCATAACTCACAAATGTTTTGAATGCTAAATAACCCGATCAACTCCCAAAGTGCCCCTTTTACCGTCATCTTGCTCTCTTTCTTTGTGATTTTTGTTGAAATGTTTTGTAGGAATCTGACTGCTTATCTTGTTGTATCTATTGGTGTTAATGCAATCTACCATATTCCCGAGACAGAACCCTTACTGCTTTCTACTCTTACTTGCGTATTCAATGGCGTGTCGAAGCACAGGGGAGAAATTCAACATAAATACAGTGACAGGCAGCCGCAAAAAAGACTAGTTGTTTCTCCCATGACTGAGCCACAGGTGTGAGCAGCAACAAGGCCAGTGTGGGTTGTGTCATTGTTGCCTTTGTATGGAGAAAATGATACCCACAGAAAGCCAAGATTCACCTGTTGATGTGACAGGCAGTAGACACTAACATTCTCCCTTCTGCTCCTCTTCTCCTTTCCCTCTTTCCCTCCCTGCTTTTATCACTTTTCTATCCTCCTTTCTCTTCAGGCATGCCGAGTTTCGTCAAGTCCCCAGAAGACCAGACGGGCATCTCAGGAGGAGTTGCGTCGTTTGTGTGCCTGGCCACCGGGGAGCCCAAACCCAGAATCACCTGGATGAAGAAAGGCAAGAAAGTCAGCTCCCAGCGCTTTGAGGTGAGCAGTCAAACGTGATACCGAACATGTACACACACAAACACAAGCAGGTCCAACCACAACACACATAATACAAATCATAACAAGCGTGGGCCTTAGACTTCCTCTCTTACCCTCTCTCATTAACACAGACACACCCACACGTGCATTCAAGCAAAGCACACACAATCAATAGCTGTGTTATTGAGCATCACACCAACTCCTCTCTTCTCCAAGCGAGACCAGACAGGCCTCCCTTCTCTTTAATCTCCTTCCATCTTGATTTATATAGTCCTCTTCATCTCTTTCCGTCTTTTCACACTCTCATCCTTCCCGTCTGTTCTTCAGCCCCACCATCACTAGCCATATATTCCCTTGACTTGATGTATTTCACCTCCCTCTTTTGAATCCATTTGAACACAAGGAAATGCCTTAAGTGGGAACTCTCACTGTATCTGACCAGTCGTGTTACGCTGTAACATAATGTAGGTGGGGTACACTATTGGATTGTGGTATTTCTTGATATGATACCTGTTGAGATTCACCAGGTTTTTCGATATTATTCCAAATTAAAGTTCACTCTTAAACTTATAGTGCCACCTGTATTTAGGTGAACCTTTTTAACGAGAACAACAGCCTTATAATCCTCCAGGACATACAATTGAAAGCTGGAAACTTCAAAACTTTCCATTATTTCTACTCAGAATGGGAAACAGAGCTAGAGAAAACTGTCTGAACAAATATTCTTTATATGTTGCAATAAAGTGATGTCCTCGGTCTCTAAAAATAACGTCCCTGCCCCCTTGCTTTGCTCCGGCTCTCCTAGGTGATTGAGTTTGATGATGGCTCGGGCTCCGTACTGCGGATCCAGCCACTGCGCACACACAGAGACGAAGCCATTTACGAGTGCACAGCCAGCAACAGTGCTGGCGAGATCAACACCAGCGCCAAGCTCACAGTGCTTGAAGGTAAGATAAGTCTTTTTCTTTCGCTTGGTTTCTTTATCCATCTTTTTTTTCCTACCTGGCTCCTCTGGTGAAGCCTTTATCTCAATATATCCCAAAGCAAATATGAGTGTTTACCTTAATAATTTCATACATAAACATTTGAGGATGTCTGGTATTGGCAGTGTCATGGAGGAGCAGATATAGCTTAATGTAAAGTCCACAAGGCGAAAAATAAATGCAAGGATTGCGTTTTTAAATAAGATCGCATACACTTCACCGATTCAGCTATTATGTGACCTGGAACCAGATATACTGTGAGAAATATTTGGTACTTTCGGATATGATACTATATTTAATGTGTCTTTTTGATCTCCATGAGTCAGTAAGCCTTATTCAATGACAATAAGAACATCAATTACCTCCTTAAAAGCCTTAAAATGAAAAATGACTGACCATATGACTTCCATAGATGCTTACGATAGATGTGGTTCTCTGTAAATCTTTAAAAAACGTCCATGTGAATATTTAAACAGTTTTAAGCGTGTTACATATAAAGGGCCAGCCTCCATGCCTACAGGCTAGTTTAACCTTCATGTCCCACCTTCCCCTCGTGCCCATAAGTTAATATATGTGATTTAAGTAGACACACAGTCTGCACTTTTCCCTTCTCAGCTTTCTAAATCACTGTGCAGTGACTGTGAATGTCTTCCTTAATTGATTGTAATTTTGTCATGTGGGTGCAAGTCACAGAAGGAGTTGGTTTCATAAAAAGAGCTCCAGATTTAGCCTACAGGGGGATTTAAGCCGTCCATGGCCATTACACTGGCAATAAAGCAGATCCCCTCTCATTTAAGCACAGCCTTTCTATCCTCCATTTGAGTCCCATCTTTCTTACACCCACCCTTCCTTTTTTCTCTGTCCACGCTGATTTGATGATATCATCGGCTCGGTTTGCGTAATCTCCCCGAAGGGAGTTTTCTTCTGCGCTAAGAAACCTTATCTTTCTACCCCTCTTTTGCACTGTATCACGAAGCACACACGAATGAGCTCAGATTAATCACAATATTCAGGAAGGGGGGGCAAATAGGACAGGAGTTTGGATCCCCTCAATTAGTGGTGTTAAGAAGGACAGACAAAAGGTCTTACTCAACACTGAGCAACTGTTTTCAGACGTGCTTTGCATAACGTCTTGCTTTAGCTCAGTGTGCTAGCTGCTAACCCCAGAGACAAGCACCATACAGACACATGGAACATGGACGCTTTTTTGCACATAGCTTTACTAGTGTTCATACATTCAGCACAGGATCCAGATCTTTAACCATGAGAGTGATAATTACTCAACACCTGAGTCTGCACATCCACACAGACATGAGAGACTAGCTCATTGCTGCTGCTACAAGCTCGAGCAAGTCAGTACTACACTACCTGTTCTGAGTCAAATGGCAGACAGCTGAAGTAAATGTATTGTCTGTGAAGTTGAAGTCCTCGTTTAACATTTAGAAAGCCACACACAGCCAGATATTTATTTCCAAACTCTGACTTCAGTAGGACGTTGCCAAGTTGTTTTGTATCTGCTGGAATTAAAAACTATACCAAAAACTGATGATAATAATCATATGATCAGTAAAACCATAAAGGTTTGGAGCTTTGATATTGTTTAAAAATATTGTAATGCAGATATACCTGTACAAATAATAAATTGAAGTGATATTCATCACTTAGTTTACATTACATTGTAGGCACTCTTGTTGATTTATTAATTTGATAAAACAATGACAATTGCCATACACCAAATTGCTAAGCGATGTAATACTTTAAATGTTAATATTACATAAATAACTATTCAGAAAATAAGTGCTTTTGTATAAATCGTAAGAACCTTTCAAGTAGTCCATATTTTGTCTCTGTTATCGGAGGAACTCTTTTAAAGCAATCACAGAGGCTGGTAAAAACCAATCAACACATTGTATGTATTTTTGTAGAACCCTGAGAATATGCTGGACAACTTTGAACCTGTTCCTACGCACATAAACTTACAGCCATACACTCTCTCATGTATATTCACTTTGCTCTGTCCTATTTTTAGACTATTGTGTTTTCTAGCCCATCAATACATCAAGTTCATAAAAGACAGCACCACACAAGAAAACACTGGGGCAGCACCTACCAGACGGAGACTAATGATGCTCTGTCTTAATGGGGTGGTGGGAGCCTGAAGCTTCAGGATGTCATGTCACAAAGTTGCTGTTTCGATTCCAATGATACAAATCTGGAGAAAGTGACCACAAAATCTAATTATAACTTGATCTATTTTGGAACTCTAAAGCAAGGCACATAACAAGTGAAGCTGAAAAAGAAAAGATAGGTTGACCCTTTCTTGAAAACATGTCACGTCTCCTTCAACCTTCCCTGCATAAAGGTTGAAAAATGACTTCATAGACATAGACTTCCTGTGTTTGCATTCCAAAAGAAAAGCCTCTCACTGCCTGCATGATTTAAAGTACATGTGACATTGCATCGACATGAAGTTGTCATAATACATTGAGCTTCCCCATCCAGAGAGGCAGTGAGAATGCTGAAGTCATTATACCACTAAGTCGATCTGGATTATGGGTTTTAGCAGAGCAAACGAAGGTCGAGCATTAATTATGATTATTACTTATACTGACTCTTTCTTTTTTTATGCCAATCCTACAAAATATGGATTATGTCAGTTATGCCGATGCAGCTTCACACATGCTCGAAGGTAGACTGTAGTGTATAAAGGAATAACTGTACCAAGGTTCAGAAGTACATTATAGTGTCTAGATTGCTTGCTTGTGATGTTGAGCCTAATTCAATCGGCCCAAGTTAATATTTTGTCCACACTGCCAGCGTCATACTGTAGCGAGCATACTTATCCCTTTAAGGGATTTCTCCTTGTATAGAAACAGTGTTGTGTCAAATTTGTGATTTATGTTGGTCTTTTTCACACTTAATATTTTGAGTTGACTTGAGAATTGACCTCTCTTTCTGAATCAGTAGCAGGGTCAAAGGCTGTTAAATAATGACTAGTCTAAATGTTTACTGACTTAAAGGGCCAATGTCATGCTTTTCTGGTTATTACCCGTCCCCTTGTGTGTTATGTAGCTTTTTCTGCATGTAAACGGTCTGCAGAGTCACAAACCCTCAAAGTACACCCTGTAGCGAGTAAAACTCTAACACAGAAAAGACCTGTCTATGCTGCCCCAGAACGCCTCGTTGGAGATTTCTCTTTTTCCATTGTTTTCTTCCTGGGTTCTGTGACGTATTTAGGTATAGTGACGTAACGTAACGTCCGCGGAGCCGTTACGTTTGGACCAATCCGCGGACTTCCTCACACACACACACACTCGGCGAGACGTTGCGTGGCTCGCTGCTGCGAGGAGCGGACAGTGTGAGTGGCTCACTGGTGTGGGGTCGGCGAGACAGCTAGACACTGCGGAACTCAGCCTGAGCACACACACAAACTCCCAGCCAGGCTGCGGGTGTGTGTGTGTTTCGGGATGGGTTTCGCTGTGTCTCGCAGACGGCCACTGGGCTCACAGGGAGGGGGGGGGGGGCAGGAGCTCCAACAAGGAGTGTAGGACAGAGAGTGAATACACATACTTTACAGAGATGCTGTATGAGAAACCAATATGAGTTTGGAAAATTGCACAATATAAATCTATTTTAGTAGACCTCAACAATGGAATTATGATCAGTAGAAATGGCCATGACATGGGACCTTTAACATTTAAAAGTCTCCTGGGTTCTGTCCACAGAAGAGTTTTGTTCAATGGTCTTTGTCTTCCTCCTTAACTGAGTAGATAATCAGAGTTGGGGTTGTAAAGGTTAGTGTGCCGCTCACCTGTGGGAAGTTGTAAAGGCACGTGGTCAGAGCAGAACGAGTGGCGCTCTTGCACGTTTGTAGTCATGAGTCTCGAGTCACTCTGTAATTCTGTCACGCTATAACAGCCCTGCTCTTTGTTCGCGGCAGTTCTCACGCCCCCGCCCGAGGGGTCACACCACTGAGACTTACATACAGGCCCAAAGTCAGCTCAGCCATCTCACTGTGTGTGCATGTGTGTGAGACCGACACACACACATGCAGTGGAACAGTAAAACATAGAGATGTTTCTTTATTATTGTCACAATGTCAAAAGACAAAAGATGAGGATCAATGGCTATTATCATCTTTGTTCTATTCGATGTTTAATAATGGTCTACATGTACAGTCACTATTTAAATGTACAGCCATGCCTACACTGTGTTTATGTAAGAAAGAGAGCCAGTCAGCTGTGTCAGGTCAGACCTGCTGTATGGATAAATAACGATGCACACGATGCTGAGTAAGAGAAGGAGGTATGATTGAGGGATATTGTTGCTGTCAGAATGTCATTCCCCTTTCTCTTCTCCTGTGACATTTCAGTGTCTGCCTTCTTCTCTCCTTAACTTTCCTTCGGACCCACTCCTTCTCTGTTGTACCCATGTATCTCTGTCTCTGTTAGATATAGTGGACAGTGTGACTCTGACGTACTAAGGTAGTATAAAGAGATGACCAGAGGGGAACAATGACTCATTACCCGGGTAACGATGCCGGTGTTTTCACCTTGAGCGCCCCTCTTGAATTGAACTGCCTCAGTAAATGTTCAGGTAAATGGAGCTTGTCTCAGTGATGTATGAAATAAACTACTGCCGGACAGAAAAAAGACATCTCGGCTCACAACATCAGTCTTAAACGCAGTGTGCTGCCACTTCTCCATTTTCAAGGCAGTATTTTATATTTTCACTGCCTTTAACATTTGATGAGCATGTACAATTTAAAATGCAATGACTCAGTCCAAGAAATGACTACGGTGGTATCAAAACTACGTCATACACTAATAATGATGATAAAATGGATGAGTCTCTGTGGTGCAATGACTAGAGTGACTGTTTTCACATGCAAGCTGACAGGATTTCTCCAAAGCCAGAGCCAATTTCTGATGAAACTCCCTGGAGCACAATTCTTAAAGGTACTT